CTTGTGATGCTATCGCTTTTAGAAGCTTTACATTTTTGAAGTATAACGTTTCTTAACATGAACGTTCTTTAGACATCACATTTCTGGCATATACATTTTAGGATTAAGTAACGTTTATGAAAACTAATTTTCGGCAAGTGTCACATTTCTTAAATGTGCTTATCTCGATACCAAACGTTTGGGATATTGCACCTTGCTAAAAACATACGTTTTGTATAGTCTCTGTTAGGACTAAGTTGTGGCACCCCAGATTCGGTAGAATCTGGCGCCAAGGTCCGTTCAAAAATCCCGTTGTAAACGGAGCGCCAGACTACCGAGTGTGTTTACTGTAAGCAGAACGGTTTTTTGAGGTTGCGAATTTAAATTAATTCTACAGACCTTTTTTTCCTTCAATAATACTCTATAATAATACCTTATGTGTTATATTATCAATATTAATTAATAATGGTTATTAAAAATAATGAATTCTATTTAAAATTAATTAAATTCACTAGCACAAACTATAGCGACCCAGATTTTTAGATTCTGACTTTTTTCTTATGGAGAAAGTGACATGCCACAGACTAAATAATTCGAGAATGCATGGTTATCCTTCTATAGATGGGAAACTACAGTTAAAAAGAGATATTTCACAGCTTGCGCCTAGACCCGCCAGGGTGCGCTGGAATTATTTTGTTATGCTTCCATCTAGTGGATGTTATTTTTATTTATTTAAAACTTTACTTACTGTAGTTCTTTCGCCCGGGAGTATTAAAATACTCGGTTTCAGCGCGGGAAAGGAATTATTTAAAATAATTGAGTTCTATTTAGACGTTATTTAATTTTGATCAAAATTATTTAGATCTTTTTAATTTATTATTCAAGTTGACAAGATATTAAAAGCTTGAAAATATAAAATTGAGGTTTACAATGACGTGATCTTAGCAATCTAAGCTCTCGATGAGAAGTGTCGTTACATAGTTTTTCCGAAGAGCTTCAAACTCCGTTCTTCTCCCACCATAACTTCCATACATACATCCACTCTAAGGAATACATAAGTACATACATTTTATACTACATATAAATGATCCTTATACACTAACATGTATTTTCTCTATATCTATATATATTTATTTCAGCCTATCGGTCTGAAAGTTGGACTTCACTAATATACACTTTTAGCAATACAGTCATTATGTTTATCTAACTATTTTTATTAATTTAACAAACCTTTTTAAAATCTATTTATAATAAAAATTAACTTATAATTAACTTATTGAAATTAAATTACAATAAAATTATAATAAACTATAACATGAAAGTATATATATTATATTATTTATAATATGTTGGACTAATGTTTGAGTTTGAATAATTAATAATTTGAATTAAATATTATTTCTATCGGATTTTCTAATAAAATTATAAGTCGGTTTAATTATTATCATGTATAAAAGAATAGACATTATTATTTAATTATAAATTAAATAATGATTTAATATTAAATTAATAGTAAATTAATTAAATAATAATTATTAATTATAAATTAAATACAAGATAATAATTATTAATTATTTTAACTCAATTTTGCTTAGCTACAATATTATATAAAGTTAGATTTTAACCGTAAATGTTATATTTAACAATATTATTTTTGTTTAGTTACATATGGTTTTTTATTATTCTTTGTTACTTTTAGAACAAGGGTCTATTGAGTTTCACACGTGTCTTTTACGACTTTTCCTCATAGGGTTTTAAATTCCATGTGGCGAGAAATAGTCCTTGAATTACTCAAGTACTTTTTATGGGTTATTGAAATTCGGTTACAATGTCCTTTTGTACCGAAATATGTTTTTCCCTTTTTTTTTTTATTTTCCCTGATAGCCAAACCGGTCGCAACTTTCCGTCGATTTGCTGCCGCAACTTGTCACCAAGTTGGCGGCAAGTCTTGGAAATGAACTCGGTTGTTCACCAAGTTGTCGGCAAAAATTGTTTTCGAAACTCTTTCGCACCAAGTTGACGACAAGTTTCTCGAGAAATTTGGCGACATATTGCGGCAGTAGATTGGTCTTGTTTTTCTCAGAAACTTGTAGCCAACTTGACGCCAACAGTTTCAAATTCGGAAGTTGACCTCAAGTTGTCGGTAAGTTGGTGGCAACTATCTGACACCAACTTGGTTGGTCTGAAACTGTGGTTATCAGGGTTATTTTATTTTCTTTTGTAAATAAAACAGAGTTAACCAAAAGATGTTTATTACAATTGGTAAGAGTAAAAGCATTAAGGGGGTATTCTAGTCTAGAAGCATGAATTTCAGGTAATTTTTTGAAGTGCCGTAAAAAAAAGGCAATCAATATTTTTAGTATCCATTTTTTTATAAGTTATTTATTAACATTACAAAAATACAGAAAAAAATAAAAAAGTTAAAAAACTTGAAAATTCAAAAAATTAGCAGCTGATGAAGTGGGGGGGTCTCAAAAATTTGGCACGTGACCATGCCCACGATTCCAATCATCCTAGCAATCGGAAATAAAAAAATAAAAAAGATTATCAATCTAGAGTAATTTCGCTATGGCATGAACTAGGGAAAAGTTGAAAAAAAATTTTTTCACAAAATGGCGACTGCTTGAAAAAAAAAATTTTTTTTGTACTTTTTTTTTTGACTTTTTCGAATTTTTTAAAAATAGTAAAAATTGAAATTTGGGGATGATCCTAGCATTTGCTCGTCAATTGACGTCATTTTTTTTTAGTCAATCACAAAAATTCATGAGCATTTTTTTTTTTTTACTAAAATTTCTCTTAAAAAAAAATCAAAGTAATCTATTTCAGATGCAATCTCAATATTTTAAATATTTAAAACAAAATTTGTCTGAAAATTCTAAAGGTGTAACCTCATGCTGACGCTTGACGCTGGTTATGAGCGTCAAATTGTGTCACGTGGTTAATTTAGGCTGTGCTGCCACCTGGAAAAAACTTAGTAGCGTCAAATCGTAAAAAGCTAAACTCGAATTAGCTTTTTATTTTAAGGATTAAACAGAAATTTAGAATCTATATAATCGAACTCGATAGTAATCGATATTGAATAAGTTAAGAATCTTGTTATTGTTTATTTTAAAAATAAATTTTTATGTAAACATTAGATTAAAGTTGTTGACTTTCTGTTATAAAAATGGCACTATTTGAAGATTACCTAGATATAGAAGCGTTGGAAGATGTACGGGTTATATTATATAAAATTAAACGGATAATTATAACAGAAATATTTTTTCATTTTTACTGTGTAAGAAAATAAACTCAAAATATTTATTGTTTTTATTTTTAGGAAATATCACAAGTTTATGTTTGTGGTATATGTGAGGAGATTTGCAACAGTTACTTAGATCATAAATGTTTAAAAAAATATAAAAATCATCATATCGATGAGAATCATTATTGTTATCCTTTACTAGGTTAGTAACTTATCAATTTTTTAGATTATTAAATAAATAAATAGCACAGCAACTAACAAAATTCATCGTTTTGATGTATTTAATTTAAAGAGGATGGTGTTACATTAATCCGGCGTGCTTTATTGGAAAATGGACGTGAGGAACTTATTACGGAGAAAATTTATTCAATAAGTAAAGAAAACAACAAAACCTCTGGCAATGTAAGTATTTTAAAACTAATTTAACTATGATGTTTCAGTATTAGACTTGCTTAATTATTCCTATTAACAATATTCATTTTAGTTTCAAATTCCTAATTCCAAAAATAAGAAGGTAAAAACAAAAGCGCA